TCCATCAATCCACCTCATAGAAGGCCTTCCCCTCCTGCGCCGTCCCTCCACCCTCCCCAGCATGATGTCCTTCTCCAAGGACCGGTCTCTCCTCACAACATGTCCAAAGTATGTTAGACAGAGCCTCAGAATCCTTGCCTCCAAGAAGCCACCCAGTTTAACCCTTTCTAGGACGAATCTGTTTGTTTTCCTAGCAGTCCATGGTATTCTCAATACTCTTCTCCAGCACCACAGCTCAAAGGCATCAATTCTCCTTCTATCCTCCTTGGTCATTGTTCAACTCTCTGATGCATAACAAGTGATTGTGAAGACCACGGCCTATATCAAACGCACCTTAGTCTCCAGAGAGATACCATTGCTCTTCAGTACTTTGGAGAGGTCCCTAACAGCAGACTTTCCCATGGCAATGTGCCTTTTAATTTCCTGGCTACTGGTGCCAAGAGTGTTGACTGTGGAGCCAAGCAAACTAAAGCTGTGAACAATCTTAATCTCTTCACCATCCATCCTGTTGCTGCCAATTGGTCCACTGGTGAGAATCTTTGTCTTCTTGACATTGAGCCTCAATCCATATTGGAGGCTGCAGTCCTTGACCCTCTGCAGTAGGTGCTTCAGGTCCTCTTCAGTTTCAGCAAGCAGGGTTGTATCATCTGCATAACGCAGATTGTTGATAAATCGTCCACCAGTCTTGACCCCACATTTCTCCTCATAGAGCCCAGCCTCCCAGATAATCTGTTCTGCGTATAGGTTGAAAAGGTATGGAGATAGGATGCATCCCTGGCCTACGCCCTTCCCAATTTTGAACCATGCAGTGTTCCCTTGCTCTGATCCTGGTACTAGAAGCCAGGAAATTAAAGGACAAACTGCATTGGGAAAGTCTGCTGTCAGAGAACTCCTCAAAGTACTGAAGAGCAATGATGTTAGTCTGGAGACTAGGGTGGCACCTGATTCAGGCCACATATTCTTTGCAATTACTTGCTATGCATCGGAAAACTTGACAATGACTAGGGATGATAGAAGGTGAATTGATGCCTTTGAGCTGTGGTTCTGGAGAAGAGTATCAAATATACCATGGACTGCTAGGAGAACAAACAAAGACAGGGTGAGACCAGGGTGCTCCTTGGAGGCAAGGATTCTGAAGTTTTGTCTGCCCTACTTTGGACATGTTGCAAAAGGGGACCAGTCCTTGGAGAGGGATGTCATGCTTGGGAAGGTGGAGGGACAGCGCAGAAGAGGAAGACCCTTGATGAGATGGATTGATTCAGTGACTAGGGTAATGAGCGTAGGCGTGTCAGAGACAGTAAGATTGCCACAGGATAGAGAAGGGCTTAGAGCTATTTTACAGAGGGTTTCTATGAGTTGCACATAACAACAACATATTTGCTGTAATTGTTTACCTTTGAGTTGGAACTGACCCATAGCTGACCCTCCAGCAGATTTTCAGAGGCAGTAAATTACAGGAGGAGAGTGCCCATCTTTTTCCTGTAAATCATCTAGTAAATTTGAACCATATGCCTTCAGGATTGCAGTACAATATATATACCTCATTGCTGTCAAGTTGTAACCATCATGTACCTTACCTTCTAGAAGTTTTCAGAGGCTGTGGTTGCATAGAGAAGGTCCATCTTTCTCCCTCAGAGCAAATGTTGGATTCAAAGTAATCACTCACCTCTGGGTTGGCAGTGCAATTCCCTACCCACTAGGCCATTTCTATGATATAGGAACCTCCTAGAAGAATGGTTCAACATACAGATGCTAAGCAAATAGTTAAACAGTCTAGTAGTAAAAATCTGCATGGCAATTCCAGAGTCACTATTGTGAATCCACCAGATGTTCCACCAAGGAAGTATGGGTAGTATCCTCTAGTGCAAGTTACTGCCCATGAAAATCCTCTGGAGGATCAGATACAAGTCTGTTCCAACTCAATAGCAAAGTTAGAAATTCAATTGACATTATCATCATCCAAAGTTATGATGGAACTCTGGACTTCTGTTGCTACAACAAATGAGACTTTCTTTCAAGCCATAAGTAGCAAATTTCAGATCTTCTATGCAGTGCTGAGGTGTGGCTCTGAAACTTTCTCTACCCATTCTTTCTATCACTTTGTCTAATGAAAGTAGGATTAATCAACCAGCTTCCTTATTCTTATCTTTCTGACAAAAATATAGAAGCATATCAAATATGTAAACAACAAGAGCCTGTTTGTCACAAGTATGTTCTCAAAATCCTTGTCTCTCACAAGTATTTAGTCTATTGGTAGCAATATCTTTAATATTCCCATTGTCTTCTCAGAAGCCCTGGTGGTACAGTAATTAAAACACTTGCCTTCTAATCAAAGGTCACTTATTCTAATCCCTCAACTGCTCTTGAAGAGAAATATCTAGGAATCCCAATTTTGCTCTGCCCTGTAGGGTCACTATTACCTAACTCAACAGCGTAGCGTTTAATTTTGTTACCATCTCACACCATGGTTAGTAGGAACCTCTGTAATATTAGAGGCAGAGTGATCAGCACCTTTAAGACTAGCTAGACTTGGGAACCAATTAATACAATTTCTCTGTACAATTTTGTTTCTCTAAAACTAATCTTGGTACCAAATACCTTAGGCTGGGCTCTAAAGAGGACCAAAAAGAGTGAAGTGTATGTGTTTAAATAGAGAGTGATTTATTTCAAGGAAATAGTTCATACAGTTGTGAAAAGTGGCCAGTGCCAAATCCAGAGGTCAGGCATCAGGCTGGAGGATGCTCCTGACTCGGATGGTTGCAGAGACTGATGAATCCAATTTGCCGCAGACTGTGGCCTCATGTAACAAAAGCAGGAGATCAGAAGATGACAAGTTGGATGCAGGTTCAAGAAAGGGCACATTTTGCCACAACATTCATATATAGTGAAGGCAGGCTGCACCCCCAAGGAAACTCTCCTTTCAACTAATTGGCTGGTCATATCAGATCACAGAATGGAGGATAACTGTGCAATATCTGTCAAACCATAGAGAATCCTAGGTGAGGCAAGGTGGCATATAACTTTAACTCTCACATAACGTGACAATTACAATTATCTCCAGACATTGCCAAAATGTTTAACTAACACAGACATCCATAGCTCTAGATGAGATAAGGAAATAGGGCAGAGAGAGGTCAGGAGACTTACATTTGTACCTGCTTTTGCCATTCCCTCTGGAATCCCATTGGAGGGTCAACTGTGCATTGATTCCAACTAGACAGTTTGCCATGTCTGGCTGCATAGCAATAGCATCATTCATGGACCATAATACCTTCCTCTTGGGAGGAGATTATAAAGAGGTGGAATTATTTGAGATCTGAGGTTCATCCAGACTCCAAAATCTATGACTGCATTTGTTGTTTTTACTCACGTAGCATAAAGAAAAATCAAAGCCAAACCAAATCTACTGACATTGCGTTGATTCCACCTCATAGCAATCTCACTTATTACAGAAGAGAGTTGTGTTCCACAGAGTTACTTGGCTATCATATTTCCAGAAGCAAATCGCTAGGCCTTTCTGTCATGGTACTGCTGGCTGAGTTCAAGTTAAAAACTTTTCAGTTAATAATTTGTGTTACCAAGGACTTTTAGCAAAAGGAAAGTGGAGGAATATTATACATAAGCCATGAAGAAGACTTCATGATTGCAAAGTGTTTGAAAATTTATAAGTTTCAGTTACCTCCTAGAAACATATCATTATTTCCAGGAAATAAAGTAGAAAGGATTCTGTCTTACAGTCAGACAGAGATGGGCTAAGTGATATTATGATAAATGGAGAAAAGATTAAAGTTGTCTAACATTGCATTTTACTTGAATCCATAATTAACACTCATGAAAGCAGCAATTAGTAAATCAAATGACGTACTGCATTGGGCAAATATACTGCAAAAGATCCCTTTCATTTGTTCAGAAGCAAAGGCTCTACTTTGAAGACTAAAGTATACCTGAACCAAGCCATGATATTTTAAATGTGTCATATGTAGGCAAAGTTGAATAAGGAAGGCTAAAGAAGAACGATACCTTTGAATTATACTGTTGGCAAAGAATATTGAGTAGACCTTGGGCGGCCATAAGTAAAAAACAAATCTCTCTTGGAAAATCTACGTTCAGAATGCTCCTTTGGAGCAACAATGACAAGACGTAGTCTCACATGCCTTGGACATCATATCAGATGGGAACAGTCCCTAAGGAAAGACATTGTGCTTGATAAAGAAGAAGGTCAGCAAAGAACAAAGAAGAGACCAACCCTCAATGAGATGGATTGACAACAGTGGTTGCAACAGTGAGCTCAGAAGTAACAATTATTTTGAGGCTGGCACAGGACTTGGGCAGTGTTTCATTATGTTACATGTAAGTAAGGCCACTCTGAGTCAAAATTGACCTGGGCAAGACCTTACAACAAGAATGCAGTGTGTGTGTGTGTGTGTGTGTGTGTGTGTGTGTGTGTGTGTGTGAAGATTGCTTTGATCACAAAACAGCCTCCTTGTCTAGGTGTATGTTTCCCTCACATGAGCACAACTACATGCTCTGGGACTCCCATTCTTCTCAACATCAGTCACAACTTGTTATGATCCACACAGTCAAATGCCTTTGCATAGTCTATAAAGCACAAATGGACATTCTTCTGGTATTCTTTACTTTCAGCCAGGATCCATCTGGCATCAGCAGTGATATCTGGTGCCATGGCCTCTTCTAAATCCTGCTTGAACCTCTGGCAGTTCGCTATCTATGTACTGTTCTAGACATTAAACTATAAGGTTTTCTTTATAGATGAAACTCCCATGCAAAACTCTCCTTTTCAGCTTTAGGTTTTAACAATCACTGAGAAAATCCTTAAATTGAGTGAGTTGTTCGGATGCCTTAGTTGATCAGCATCCCTAAAGACCAATTGAGCACTGACTTCATGGAAGAGAAACTCTCAACTTCTTTTCAAGAGAAGTTGTATGTCGTACTTTAACCAAATGCCACAAAATAGTCGTAACTACCATTCACCTGTTTTCTTTCCCTTCTTGCAGGTCTCGGCCACAGGTATGACCAGTTTGTATGTGCTGACAAAGGAGGAACCTGTAACTACTCTCCTTGCCCGAGCTACAGCAAAATGGAGGGCACCTGTTACAACGGCAAGGCCAAGTGCTGCATCCGCTTATTCTGATATGGGAGTAACTAGAAGAATGAAGGCAGGAGTCAAGTGAAGTATTTGTAATTATTGTTTTAATAAATGAAAACCTCCTTTTGAAATAAACTTCCAGACATACGGAAACCATGTGCCTCATTTTGGAAGAGATTAAGAAAGTATAGCAGAAGTATGATCTGCTTGGCCCAGAAATTGTGGAAATGATGACTAAGGCTTGAGCTAGCTATACCATGTCCACTTGATTTTATTATAAAACCAACATGTTTTTCATGACTCAGGACCTTCCCCTTTATTAAGTGAAGCTCATCCAAATGTAGTGGTCCCATCAGTAAAAGAACTTCTGCAGAGTCGAGTTGTTGCCTTTCTCCTTTTTGAACTTACCATAGTGGGTGGATCAATCAACTTTACCATTTTAGAATCTTCAATATTGCCATTAAAATATAATATTAGCTTTCATTGTGTAGACCTAATATCTGGGTTCTTAGATCAGTTACATAAAATAGTTGCCCCAAACAAAAGTACTTCATATATCTACATTTCATTTATTCTATGCCATAAGTTCAATGTCATAGCTCAGGTCTGGTGGTAAGAAGCTGAACTCCAATCCTGAATGCAAGTGGTCGACTCCAACAGCTGCTCCATGGAAAAAGGATGGGCAATCTCCTCCCCTTCAAGTAACTGTCTCTGAAAATCCACTGGAAATTCAACTATGTGTACCAACTCGAAAGTGTACGACAACTACAATGATAGAGTTAGACTTACCTCTCCTGTGAGGGAAAAGTTGAGGTAGAATAATATGCTGATTTATTTTGTAGCATTAATTTCTACTCTCTTTAACATATACACAGCATGTGATTCCCTTCCCCTAAAGAGATAAAATATAGTTTAGACCCATTCCATTTGAAAAGAAGTCTCAAGTCTACCATCAACTTCCATCTTTAAGATATGGAAGTCCTCCACTGTGGCTTTTTCATGTTAGGTTGAACTAAACTCCCAGACTTGGTTGAACAAAACTGTTGGTGGCAATGATTTTCTACAACTGGATTCTTTTTTGGTTTTAACAAATTTATTCTCTCATCATTTGATGTCCAAATTCAAAGTGCCAGCTTTAGGGGAAGGCATTCTTAACTGATTCTGGAAGAAAGTCCTGTTTTCTTCTGTATCTGAAAGTCTAGCATCTTATGAAAGTCATAATAGGTGTCCCCTGTATCAAGCTTCCTAGTGCAGGAACCTGTGTCTAGACAAGGGCACTCAGTTTCTGTGGATTCTTTTTAATGCTACTAAGGTCTCCCCTAAAACCTGACTCCTGAAGAGCATTGGGGGATAAAACATACACATTTACATATTCATCTCACATTCCTCAGTTAGTGAGGTTGTACTAATTTTATCTTCATGTTAGGAGCTCTTCAGGGACCAAAAGCACATATTTTTAAATTTTTACCCACCTAATATCTCTGAAGATGTCAAATGATAATGGAATGTGATCAGGAACACTGTCATCACAAATTGTAGGTTCAGGACCAGAATGAATAATACAATTAATCTAGCTCTTCCCTTCAAACTAGTATTTGTTCCCTGGGTCAATATCTGGTGAACGTTACTATGAAGTAAAACTCCCTTATGGTAAGTTTTGCAACAGGATACAGCTGATGCTCTTTGTGCCTTCTCTTCTCTGCCCATTCTATGTTCCCTTGAATTTCTGCATCCTTTCTACCTGACTGGCTAAACCAGTCTTAATCCTAAAGTTTACATAACAGGCTGAACTATATGAATCCCCATTATACTAGGATAAGGCAATTGCAGTTTCCCCTTGAGGTTACCTCATTTCTATTTCTTCAAGAATATATTCTACTTACTCAACAATTACACTGTTTCTCCCTGATAATTTGTGTGTGTATCCCTACTTTATATATATGTAGGTCTTTTTTAATAAAGCTGGGATACAAAATGAATTCCTGAAGGAAAGATGAATTTGAAATTAAGTGGAATACTTAGAGTTGTTTGCAATCTACTTCACCACTAAATGGTTGGAAAATGTGATTTCATGTTGCATCATCATAAAAAAAAAAAAAAAAACACACAAACCAACAACCGAAAATCCTCGCAACTGGACCAAAAGGTATCATAGTGATAAATAATCCATGAAGTAATGCTTGAGCCCATTGTTATAGTTACTGCATCAATTCATTTTGTTAAGGGTCTTCCTCTTCATTGATCCTGCATCTTTCCAATCAAGATGTGCAATTTCTTGGATTATTCACTCAGCATATATATTTAGTAAGTATGGTGAGAGGATACAATCTCGATGCACACTATTGATTTTAAACCATGGGATTTCTTCTTTTTCTATTCAAACAACTACTTTTTATTCTACGTACAAATTCTAAATGAGCATGATTTAAGTGTTCTGGAATTCCCATTCTTCAGCTTGTTATTTGCAATTTATTATGTTCAACATAGTCAAATGTATTTGCAAAGCCTACAAAACACAAGTAATAATTTTTTTTGTATTCTCTGCATGAATCAAGATGCATCTAATGATAGCAATGATATCTCTTGTTTCATGGCATCTTGTTAATCAGCTTGGATTTCAGGCAATTCTTTATCTATTAGGGCAGCCATTTTTAATGATCTTCAGAAACACTTTGCTTGCATATGATTATTAAGATGATGTTGCTGGATAATTTCTGCATTCTGTTGGATCACCACTTTCTGGAATATGATAAAAAAATTTGGACTTTGTCCTAAGTACCATTGGGTTTTGATCATACAGAACCTCCTGAAATAGTTACACATCAACCAATTCTTTTCAATGCAGTCATTGAATATATTTAGTAGATAAAGAGTGCCTTGAGATAGATTAATTTGTACCATACAAGAAACATTTTCTTCTTTTAATTATTGAGGAGTAATGATGTCAGTTTGATGACTAAGGTGTGTCTGATTCAGGCCATGGTCTTTCTAATCACTTGCTATGCGTCTGAGAGCTGGACAATCAATAAGGATTACAGAAGAATTAATGTCTTTGCCCCCCAGCACGGGGAAAGCCGTCATGGCCCTCTGCTTGGGGTGGGCTGTCTTTGGTCCCTGGCCTGGGGAGAACCATCATGGCCCTCAGGGTGAGCTCCTAGGTCCCCAGATTGTGCCATCTGACCCCTGGGTGGAAAAAAATGCCTAGGATATCCAGAGAATTTTATCTAGGCTACTTTCCACCACCCTCTCCCCCAGTAAATCTGAAAGTAACACCCCCAAAGCCCTTCTATTTGTAACTCACAAGTGTGTGCTCTCTAGGTTTGCTCCCTTTCCTATAGGTAACCCTGAGTTTTACTCCAGACCTGATCCTGAGCCCAGTGCCAGTGACAAAAAGGAAATACATCTGCCAGCTAAGGAAGCAAAGGAGGATGCATCTCCTCTGGGTTCAACCAGCCATCCCCCACTGGATCCACCTAGGAAAACACGTTGCAGTCCAGAGGGGAGCAGATGTCAGGAAAACATTTTCCAACAGAACAAGAAGGCAAGCAGCTTTAACCCAAGACCACCAGTAAGGTGATAAAGTGTCCTCCCCTTCCCCCTTCACGTCTACGCCCCTGTTCAGCATGAAGAAGCCAGAGAGTCTGCATCCAGTTCCCAAATCAATAAGACAGTTGGTTTAATCACCATTGGAATATGCTTACCATTCCTCTGTAGCACCTGGTTCCCACTGGATCCTTTTAATTTCCTTCACCTGCTCCCCCCTCCAACCAAATTGTGAAGCTCTGTAACTGCACCCCTACAATTTTCATTCCTGCCCATCCTCACCCTTCTGCCCCTACCCCTCACCTCCTTGTACCCCCAATATGTTTTTCCCAATAAATTTTTTTTTTAAAAAAGAATTGATGTCTTTGTGCTGTGGTGTTGCAGAAGAGTACAGAAAAGCTCATTGACTGTCAAAAGAACAAACAAATACGTCTTGGAGAAAGTTTAGCCAGACTGCTTCTTAGAGGCAAAGATGTTGAATTTTTGCTGCACATACTTCAGGCATCATGCTTGGAAAGGTGGAGAGTTGGCAAAAGAGAAGAATACCTTCAACCAGGTTCATTCACACAGTGACTGCTACAATGGATTCTAGTATGTCAGGAAGTGTGAAGATGATACAGGATAGGACAGTGTTCAGATCTGTTATTCATAGGGTCATGGAAGACAAAGTGCATTAGAGAAGCCTGCTGTCAGATAACCTCTCCAAAGTACTGAAGAGCAACGATGTCAGTCTAGAGATTAAGGTGTGCCTGATTCAGGTCATGGTCTTCATAATTACTTGTAATGCTTCAGAAAGCTGGACAATGGACTAAGGATGACAGAAGAATTGATGATTTAGAATTATGGTGCTGGAAAAAAGAGTCTTGAACATATCATGGACCACCAAAAGATCAAATAGGTCTGTCTTGAGGATAGTGAAACCAAGTTCCTTCTTGGAGGTAAGGATTTTGAAGCTCCATTCCACATACTTTGGGCTCATGGCTATGAAAGACCAGTCCTTGGAGAAGGGCATCATGCTTGGAAGGGTGAAAGGACCATGCAGGAGAGGAAGACCCTGAATGAGACAGACTGACACAGTAACTGGGACAATGGGATTAGGTGTGTATAGTCAGATTGGCTCAGGATAGGTCAGGTTTCAGAGCTATTGTACATTGGGTCACTATGAGTCCCAAGCAACTCAATAGCGCATAACAAGAGCAACAACCTGGATCATACTCAAATCAAGGGCACCTAACAAGCTTCTTAAATATACATTCTGTCATTCTTCGTTATGCCTGCGAAGTTTTCCTCTAGTAATTCTTCCACAACTTTTTCAGTGCCTTTAGTTGCTTCTTCCTGTTCTGGGATACCTATGATGCAGATGTTATTTCTTTTAATGGTATCCCACATTAGTATTAAGCTTTCTTCTGTTTCCTTCTTTTTGGATTCTGCTTTTTTTCCTCAGATCTGTGGAGACAATTCTATCTTCTATTTCACTGATTCTGTTTTCCATCTCTTCACCT